AAAAAAAAAAAAAGCCAAGTGCTGTGGCAGGTGCCTGTAGTCCCAGCTACTTGGGAGGCTGAGGTAAGAGGACTGCTTAAGCCCAGGAGTTTGAGGTTGCTATGAGATGTGATGCCATGGCACTCTACTGAGGACGACATAGTGAGACTCAGAAAAAAAAAAAAAAGACTAGTCTGGGTAACACAGGAAGACTCTGTCTCTAGAGATTAAAAAAAAAAAAAAGAGCTCAGGAGTTGGAGACCAGCCTGGGTGTGGTGTTGTGTGCCTGTAAGTCCTAGCTACTTGGAAAGTGAGGCAGGAGAATCCCTTGAACCCAGAAATTTGAGGCTGCAGTGACCTAGTATGGCACAACTGTTCTCTAGTCAGGGCAACAATAAGACCCTGTCTATATAAAATATAAAATAAAAACAAAATACATATTCTCAAGAAATATTTAGTATACAATGTGTATAGGGTATTACCTTAATTTGTGAAATACACACCTACACCTATAAACAGTTGGAAAAAAAAAACCTAAATATAATTATTACAGTGGTGATTTCTGGGTAGATCTTTGGCCTCTCCACTATTCTGTATTTTCTAGATTTTCTATGATGGATACAAATTTCTGAGTTTTTCTTCTTTTATTATTAGGGGCATTCATTATTTGTTTGTTTGTTTTGAGACAAGGTCTCTCTGTGTTCTCCAGGCTGGTCTCAAACTCCTGCCCTCAAAAGATCCTCCCAACACAGCCTCCCAAGTAACTGGGTTACAGAAGTGTGCTACTACACTCAACATCTTCTTTTATTTTTTGATCCTGTATTTTATTTTTTTATTGTGGTACAATTTTTTTTAATAATCAGAGCAAAAGGCTACATAGCACAGTGCAATCAGTAAAAAAAACCTTACTTTTCAAAGTGAAAAATGTCATTATCCATCTGTCCAAACCTACAGAGTATACACCACCAGGAGAGAACCCTACTGTAAACTATGGACTCTGGGAATGATATGTAAGTTCACTGACTGTAACAAAGGTACCACTATGAAGGGGATGCCATAGTGAGGGAGGCTGTGTATGCGGGAGCTGGAGGCAGGCACAAGGGAACTTTGTACCTTCTGCTCAATTTTGCTCTGAACTGCTCTAAAAGATAAAGTCTGTTTTAAAAATCTTAGAATTAAATCACTTAGGAAGTCAAAGTTATGGTCAGACAGATCTAAGAAAGGCTATTCAGTCTTTCTTCAATGAAACAGAGCTTCAAAACACAAACCTCTCCTGAAGATGAGAAATTGTAATTCACTTATGAATAAAAGGTGAGTCTTAACCATCTGACTTCTAGGTAGCAATTTGTTAGATAAACGAAAATGAAGAATTACCTTAACAATCCCCGGGGTGGGGAGAAGGCATAGCCCCTGACTTGCGGGTATGAGGCTCTGAGCATGATGGCTAATAGGGCAGCAGCTCCACCCCCCAGGCTGTGCCCCACGATTACAAGCTGGTATTCCTAGAGGACAAAAAACAGAATGAGGTCAAGGTTAGAAATATCAAATGGCTCATGACAGGAAAAGAAAATAAAAATTCAGTAAAATCTCACAGGAGCTATGCTGAAGGCTTGGCTCAAAATCCCATCATTGATAAGGCGTCGGTAAACATATCTGGCAGCCTGAGAAATCCCCTAAAAACATAAAGAAGGTGGCTATTAATCTTTGGACAGGGCAGATTCAATTGCACTCAGAAGACAGGATTGCACTGTATATATGCTGATTTGATTCTCTTAATTATTTTCCTAAAAAGGACATGGCATCATGAAGTCAGCAGTTGTACCCACTACTCACCATCGTGTTCTTGGCATCTTACAGAGAGCTTGCCATTAAGACTGTGCCCAATAAACACTTAAACTAGACCATCATAAATGAGTTCTAGAGAGGTCAGGTTTGGGTCTGACTTCAAAAATTAGATAAAATTTAAAACCTTCTAATATATGCATGTGTTTTCATAAACAGACTTCTGGAAAATTACAGTTCCAACAGAGGAGAGACGACCCTGTCAATGACAAGTATCTTCACAGTGCCTACTCATGGCAGCTCCTCTGCTAGTCCCTGAGGCACGAAGACCCGGCTACTGTCCAGGGCACGTTATATTCTAACAGAATGAGGTATAGGTTATCTTGTATAAGATAGGAGACTGTTTTGGATCATCTCTAAAGCAACTGCAAATTCCTAAGATTTAACAATTCTCCAAGAAGAATGCTGGACCTGGCATCATACAAGACAAATCAAAAAGAATGCTGTGACAGTATGTACATTATGACAGCACTAAATAAATCATCACATTCTCTTTTACTCTTCTGCAACTGTACAATGCAATCAACTAGGCATCTACAAAGTGGCTGGTCCTGGGCAATCAGAGCCAAACAGGATTTCGACTACAACTGCTGATGGTGAACACAGGCACCAAACAAGTACCAAGATCATTTTTAGCTTTATAGGTTTGGACTCCAATTACCATGAAGAACATCAAAGCCAAAACGCAACTTTGGCACATTTGACACAAGTGAAGCCAAGAACAGAGAACAGGCCCGGGAAGCAGAGGTTACTGAACACGCACAAATACTGTGCAGTGGGAACTCAGCTTCCAGTCAGGCCCCCAAAGCCTCAGCCTGTGGTCACAGAAAACCTTTCTCTGACAGGCAACAGCCCAGGCCTTAAGCCCACTGGATTCTGAAGGTATCTGGGGCCGGCTGGTTGAAGTGTCTTTACAATAAGGTTTAATAGTTTTATTTTTCTTCATACACATCCAATAGTAGTTGTTTAAACTAGAGAATTCTGTGACTTGAGGCACAAAAGAAAGCTAAAGGTTAAAGAAAAAACATCCCCATTCCTAGGACTGTCAAGCTTCAGACTCAAGGCAGAACAAATGCTTCATCCTGGCTTCTCCTCCCTGCAAACCATCTAGAGAGTGCTGCGGGGCAGTCACCTGCAGCTACACTCTTACTTAACACATTTTCTTAAAATGAAAATTAGACATTTTATTTAAAAAATGATTGCTACAGAAGTAGTACATATTTTGGTTATAAAAACTCATTAAGGCTTGGTGCTTATAGCTCAGCGGCTAGAGCTCCAGCCACATACACCGGAGCTGGCGGGTTGGAATCCAGGCCTGCCAAACAATGAGAACTGCAACAAAAAAATAGCCAGGCATTGTGGAGGGTGCCTGTAGTCTCAGCTACTTGGGAGGTTGAGGCAAGAGAGTGTACAATGCAGAGTCTAAGACCATTGCCTTTTACCCCTGATGCCTTGGTTCCTCTTCCCTAAAAGGAGCCACTGTAACCTTTGGGAGTGAATCATTTCAAATTCTCTCCTAAATGTTGGAAACTCTGCCCTGCAATGTCATTAGTCATCAGGGAAATGCAAATCAAAATCACAATAAGACCTTACTTCACAGGCCAGGTGCAGTGGCTCATGCCTGTAATCTTAGTACTCTGGGAGGCCAAGGCAGGTGGGTCGCCTGAGCTCAGGAGTTTGATACCAGCCTGAGCAAGAGCGAGACTGTGTCTAT